ATTTTTTTGTAAATCTCAGTGAATGATGAAAACAGCAACACATTTCTGAGTTTTGCTTTTATTGTAAACAAAAAAATAATAATACAAAACATAAGCTTTAAAGGCAATGCCATGTTCACCTACAGGGAAACTGCATTTAAAAAGATGAAAAAAGAGAACTAATGATACAGAATATAAAATGAACACAAAATATTTTTTTCAAAATAGCAAAAAAGCATCATGTTTTGATTCCAGGATTTTAATTAACTACGTCATTTGTTAAAAAAAAGAAAATACAAGAAAATGTCCAGTTTTTTTTTCTTTTAGCGAAAGACCCATTGTGTAATTCTGTACATAAGATCAAGAATAAAAGAAACTTTCATACAGTAACATTTACAAATGATAAATAAACAACGTTGTACCACATAGGACAGCAACCTATTTCACTTTTTGTTAGCTGCTGCTGAATTTTCAAAGAATAATTGCAAATAGTTATTCTCAAATAAAATTAATGCTAAAGAATAAATTAAGAAAGGGGGAGGAAAAAAACGTTAGGAAGAAAGATGAGGCAGAAGGAAGCACACCATGTTCAGACCTGATGGGTGCTGGTCAACGGTCAGGTCAAAGGTCACTTCCTGAATCTCATTGAGCAGGAAGTTCCGACCTGCGCTGTCGGTTCCCCACTGCAAAGCCAGAGGACGAAGCCTCACTACTGTGGCTCCAGAGGCACCAATGGTATCGAGGCAGATAAAAGCGAGCATTGCTGTCACATCTAGCAACACGGTAAGGCCCCTAAAAGAGTTACATGGCACCTGCTATGGCGTTTGTTTGTTTTTTCAACACAATAACTTGAGCTGAAGCGAACAAGAAGTAGAGCATTGGACTAATTCACTGATGACACGGCCAAAACAAAAGTTTAATCTATTTCAAACTTGCATTGCTCAATTCCTGCATCTCAGTATGTACAGTATAAAAATTCAAAGCAGAACGAAGGCTATTATAAGACGGCTGTTTCAGTAAACACGTGTTTCTTACTTCCTGTAAATAAAAAGGTACATTAGTGATAAGTAAGGCCACGGAGGGTGTTTGAACCCTTGTTCCTTTAGGTGAAACTAACCTTCCAGTCACAATGATGACACTGACTATGATGAGAGCAGAACACATACACAGTACATACTATTATATATAGCCAGCATGTCCTCACAGAGGATTTAAACTTTTCAAAACATTATATCTAAAAAAATATAATCACAAATCCAACCAATACAAAAGGCACTGTCGGGAGCCAATTCAAATAATTTTTTTCGAGCTATAAAAAAAGTCCATGTCATATTTTTCTGTTGGCAATGACTGACGTGTGGCCAGGGGGCAGTCTGGGGGTGAGCGTTCATTCAGTCAGGTCTCTGATGGCCGTCTCAGGGCCTCGACAGCTGCGTGTAAATGGGCTGCTGCTCCCAGTGCTGCGGACTGTGGGTCTGCGGCACTGAGGGCACGCCGGTGCTGTCTGCGATTGGGGTGTACATTGGCCTCTGGCTGGGGCTCATGTAGCTGAAGGTGGAGTACAAGTTGGAGCCTTGGCCCGCTGCGTGGCTGTAGTACGAGTTGGCACCACTTTGGTGGTCTGAATAGTCATACTGTGCTCGTGTGATGGGAGGGTAGGAGGAGGCGCTGTAGTGCTGCAGGTTGAAGGAGCCGTAGGTGACGTGCTGCGGGGAGCCCTGCTGCTCAGTGTAGTGGCTCGGGCTCAGCTGCTCCGTCTTGATCTGGGTGGTTCTCTGTTGACCTTGTTGCTCTCCTCCTCCACCCAGGGGGGTCAGGGAGTGCTGCTGCTGCTGCTGCTGCTGCTGCTGCTGCTTGGACAGCCAGGTGTGGGCTCCAACGTTGGCTCCCTGACTGACTGAGGAGCTGCTGATGCCGTAGCTACCGGTGTAGCCAGCCTGGGCGGCACCCCCGGCGTGGCTGTGAGGCGGCAGATACTGATCGAACTCGTCGACGTCGAAGCTTCCCATGTTGGAGATGACGTCTGTGCTCAGCTCACCGATGTCCACGGCGCCAAAGTCGATGTTGAGCTGCCGGCTGGTGCCCTCTTGGATGGGGCGCCCCTCGCGCTTCAGGTCAACTTTGCTGGAAGGGAGATCGGTCTTGGGCGTAGTCGGGGGTGTTGGTGGGCCCTGGGACTGACCTAGTCAGAAAAAAAGAAGAAAGTTAGACTCGATGTTCACTCAGTCTACAAACAAGTAAACAAAAGACATTCACTGGCTTAATCCTGGCAGGTGTATTTGCATTCTGGCTTGTAAAAACCCAATAATCATTAACCCTTAAATATTACCAACTGTCTGTGCAAGGCCATAAAAAACAGGGAAAAAATCAAACCTTACAAACTGTGCTAAATTTAAAACATAACGAAAGAAAAAAATCTTTAATTAGATTTATTGTTTTTTTAATCTCACCTGAATGTTCACCTGGTGAGTGCACCTCGCCCATGCTGGACGCAGGAGAGTCGGCCTGCTGCAGCGCCTTGAAGATCGCGTTTGGGGAGATGTGGGTTTGCTCGCCGTCCTCCGATTCGCTCTGTCCGTTTTTGACGGATTTCCTCCGCCTGGGCTGGTATTTGTAGTCGGGGTGATCTTTCTTGTGCTGCACTCTCAGGCGTTCAGCCTCCTCCACGAACGGCCGCTTCTCTACCTCATTGAGCAATCTAGAGGAGGAAAAAAAAAGTCACACAAACAAAAGAGTTTAATATGCGGGTTGAAAAAGTTGGTTTGTTTATCAGTGTGTGAGAAAATGGTTGAGTGGACGCGGTTGCAGCAACTCTTCCTGATCAAATTTGAGATGTTGAGACAAAATTCCGAGGAAATAAACGCAATCATGTCAATGCTTCTGCCAAATTGCCACACTAACGCTTAAAGCAGTAAAGTGGCGCAGATTTTATATAAAAACAGAAAGAAATAATAAGTAACGCAAAGCGCACAGCGGCGCGTAAAAGCGCACAGCAACTAAAATCAAACTCACCTCCAGAGTTTCCCCAGGGTTTTGCTGAGTTCTGCGTTGTGCAGATGTGGATACTGATCGGCCAGTTTCCTCCGCGCTGCCTGGGCCCACACCATGAAGGCGTTCATGGGTCTTTTCACGTGAGGTTTGCTCTTGCTCGAGCCGTTGACGCGCACTGGCATGGGCACCAGCGTCCAGTCGTAGCCCTTCAACACCTGGGACACCGCGTCCCTGATGCACACGGGGAACTTCTCTTCCTCGCCCTCCTTCTTGTAGTCGGGGCCCCGGAGGAGGTGGTTGTCGGACGGGCGGGTGTTCTCGGTGTCCGAACCGGAGCCGGACGGGCATGGAGAGCCCGCGGAGTCCTCAGACATGCTGGGGCTGGGGACGTCAGAGTGACACTTCTCCTGTTCTTCTGTCATCTTCAGGTAAGGGTCGAGGAGATTCATGCGAGAAAAATTAAGGAAAGCTGCTTACAAGAAAAAAAATGGAGACAGTCCTTTTTTTTTTTCTTTTTCTTTTTCCAAATCCAAGTTGTGCCCAAAGACTGCAGAGAGACAGCCTGTAAGGGAGCACAATGACAAGCTGAATCCTTTTCAAGTTGAAAAAATAAAAAACCAAAAAATCAAAACAAAAACTACAAATCTTCAGCGCTCCGCATGACGATTTCTGAAACAATAAAGCACATTCAAAATGCTCGTTTGAAAAAACAAATCAGTGTGCTTTTAAAAAGCACCAGGACTGAGTAACCAAAGAGTCTGCAAACTCTGAAGGCGAAGTCCCAATTTATAACGTTAGGACGTTAGGTGGGCGGGACGTAAGTTAACACCAGTGAAAACCCAGCTCAACCGAGTGGTTTTTCCCCTTATGGACTTTGGTTTCACCTTCATTCGTAATTTTGTTTCACATTTAGAATTTTATTATTAACTAATATTGGTAAAACGATAGAAACAGATAAATTTAGTGTAGATTTTACATTTCTTCCATTAACCTTAGAAACTAAATTGATCCTTTTATAATAGTCTATTTTTAATGTTTATAGAAGTTTGAATTGACAGTTTTCATAGTTCACAGAAGATAACGGTTTAGTTGCATGCGTTGTTTAACCCTATTCATGTAAAATAAAAATAAAAACTCAACAAGATTTATAGCATAATTATTATTAATGAGTCCCTGGCTTTGCTAAACTTTCCATGCTTGTGTCTAAAATATTTTACTTGAGGAAGTGTTCAACTAAATGAGTGATTTATAAAATACTTATAATAAAAAACAATGAAAAAGCAAAGTTTTGCAGCTCTGAGAGAGGGATTGGATCCACATTTACTTGTGTCTAATGCTGACAACTGCTGTGAAAAATCTTTGCACAGTGAGTTTCAAAGCTGCTGCAGATCAACAGGCATTGGTTGTTTCTGCTCTGCAACAACTGACCAACAGGGGGCGACAACGGTCCAGAAACTTGGCAAGAAGATGTGTTGAAGCCTCTGCGATTTTGCAACAAAGCAAGCAGTTATTAACTTTAAAACATGATTTAAAATAAAATTATATTATAGTTATAAGTTTTCACACATTATTATCTAAAAAACAGAAAAATCACAAACATTGACTTATGTATGATTATTTAATAGCCTATAAAAAGATGATAAATTATCTTTAACAATCTGAGGATTTTAGTAAAGATTTTAAATAAATTTGGCCTTTTATATTTATCTAATTATTGTATGTCTTTCTTTATTCTACTGAAGAAAGACTCTTTAGCCACAGTGTGACTATTTTTTTTCTTGAAAAAATGCATAAAAATACATTCATTTTACATTTTTATTGCATTGTTTTGGTGAAAAAAGACACAACCATCTCTTAAAAAGTGCTGCAACGTTAAAATCTACTTTTCTGGATTTGTTTCAGAGCTTGCTTTCTGAGGACAAAAGCGACTTTGTTGTGAGACTTTAGTCCCTATAATCCATGTATCCAGTTTTAGAAACCAGATCTGACTAAAAGTTATGAGATAAACTAAGAAGAAGAAAAAAACACAACTAAAATTAAACAAAGAACATTAGTAAATTCCTCTGTTGACAAATTTTGTTCTGTTTTTAGAAGGTATATGCACAGACACTAAATACCACACAAGCTACCGGTAAGCTTGTCTTTTAAGATTTGATCAAGTGAAACACAAACAAAAGAAAAAAAATTGAAAATACAGAACAAATTGTCTAAAACAAAGTAAACATATTTTTCAAAACCTACTAGTTGAAATCATGCTTCAAAAATACCCTAATACTTTGATATTTAGTATTTTTTCTTTAATTTTCTGCACCAGCATTAAAAACGTTAAGCCTTTTACATCTACAGCTCACCGAATGATTGACTTCTGTTGCCCAAACATTCCTGAAATATAAATATTTGATATTTCTCATAGTTCTTGGTTGACATGTTCTGGAAGGTGTGATAAAAACGTGTACGTTTTGTGTGTGTTCTCTTTTTTTTTCCTGTAAGGTGACTGGTCTCAACAAGCAGAGGAGCAAAAGCCTGTGATGGCTGACACCGAGGCATCAGAGGTGTGGTCGGGCATGTTCGCACCCTCGCATCACTGACTGAGGAGGGTTTGAGGAACCCTGAAGACTGACTTTTCTGCAGTTAACTAACTCCAAGGGGTGGGGTCGGACCATCGGTCCCACAGCGTACACGGAAAACCCGCCCGAAGGCTCGGGTCTTGGGAAACTTCTCAGCTTGACTTCGAGCCATGGCGTTAAAATTTTGAGGCAAACATTGAGGGTAAACTGCCAAGTCATGTCTTCCACCTCTCAGATTCCACTGTGAAGCTTTGGGCAGACTGAGTCTCACTATTTTTTTAGGTTTTAGTGCCAGTTTTTGTCAATAAAAAAGTGGTTATTTAGGCTTAATGTTTCTCTTTAAAGTGCGCGACAAAAAATATCAACCCTAGGAAGAGGCTTAACTTTATACTTTTGTTCTGGTTTTTTCACAAATTGAATTTTTTTTAAGAAACTTATAAATGATTTTATTTTGAAAAGCTGGAAAAATCATCAATATTCCAAACATGAAAATGTTGAAAATTTCAAAAAGGCAGAGATTAATCATAAATTTTACTTTATTATTTTTTTTCCTTCTTTTACTTCGTCACTCACAGGACCTCTGAGACCATTTGTCCTCAACGTGGCAGAAAACTGCAAAAATAGCCGACAAATTTCAAATTGCAAATCATCTAATTCTTCCTCCTGCGCTTCCCTCCTTCATTTCCAGAATGCACTTTCAAACATGAACCACATTGCTTGCAGCCACTGTAAATGATGGTGTCATAAGGATGGACGGGCAGCCCCTTTAGTGTTTGCTTTACCAGATCAGAGTGCTTTGGCCACGGGCAGCTGTTGACATATGGCATTTTGCAAAGGGTGGAGTTTAAATAAGATTTATCAAGACGCTGTCACCCTCAGAAGGATCTGCCTCACATTCCCCACTCTGACTCTCTCACACCTCCCTGACATCCCACACAGGACCGCCGCGGACTCACCTGAAAGACTGGGGGCCTGGAAGCATGAAGAAACTTTCTCAGGAATACCTGCTTGACACATTTCCAAAAGCTTGCACAAGTTTACCTGGGAATTTACATGTAAGGAACAAAAACACAAAAATTACACACGAGTTCGCAGGAAATAAAAGCAAAGCACAAACATTGCAGTAAAATACTGATTTCAGTCAAATTAATAGCTGAACTTCTGTACTTATTGGGGGGGAACATAATAAAACCTGTTGTTTTGGTGGAGTTTTTATCGTTCTCGTTTAGTTGCTTTTTTATTTCTACATCTAAAAAATAAAAATAAAACATTATTGAACTCTGCTGAATGACTGCAGGTAACTTTGTGCCTCCAGGTGAAACGGCCTCAGAGGTCTTTTAAATGACAATGAAACACCATAGAAGTAAAGTCTGATCCCCGTGGGTCACTGCCCTCTGTTTCCAATAACAGAGGCTGACCTGCAATTATGTCTGAATGACAAAAGCTCATTCTCAAAGTGCTGACAAATTGTTACAATATTATCTGTTTTTTTAGAACTTAATCTCAGATCTGAAAAGAGGCAAGAGTCATGATAAGAAAATAAAATAAAAAACATGTTTTTTTTTCAATGCTGAGGTTTTATAGAAAGACAAATGCAAAACAAACTAATTCACAATTTACCATGTTAATATTTGAGTTCTCAAATACGGTTCACCCTTGTTTAAAGGAAAGTCATTGAGAATTTGCTTTGTAAAAGAAAACAAAAAAAAACTTGAAATACTTCTGTCCTTTCTGTTTTTATTATGTGAAACATGATGTCTTGACGGAAGTATTAATTATGGAGCATTGAGAAACTTATTTCGTCGCCATGTAAGACATCACGTTCTCAATCCAGAAAAGGTTGGGGAAGTCCCATTGCTGTGTGACATAAGTTGTATCTTTGAAAAGAGGCCAGAAAATGTTATATTGTTGGATATTTTATGGTTGATTAACTTAAATTCAGATACACATTTCATTGATTGTAATCTTTTACTTTAAACAGTGAGAGAATCAACAAGTTAATATTTAGTTTTAGTTTTAGTCGTTGTTTCTAGACCTTACTTCCTTGTTTACTATTCATATCAGGGTTAGGTACAAAGCTGTGGGTCTTGTGTTATTCAAGGCCTTTTCCTGAGTCTCCGGAGCCATGAGAACTACACCAGATCTGACTTATGTGTAATAAACTCTACCTGTCTTTAAATAAATATTAAAATCTGAGAACTGAATCATTTCCTGCACATAATTTGGTCTCTTATTAGAACATGATTTTTCAATATGATTGTTTAAAAGAGACACGTCATGCTTTTAAACGCTTATTTTTCACATTTAAAACAATCAGTGTCTTTATAAAGTAGAACCGCAACACTTTGATCTGAATTCCTCCTTATTGCAACTCCACAAGCCTCTCTTTCACCCCTTTTCTAAGGTGTGTCTCAGATCAACTCGTTTTGAGGCTGTCTTTAAATCTAAACAAGGCACCTCACACCTCTTCTTCCTCCAGCTTCCAGAGCGATCCATTCTAGCTTGATAGTGGAGTTTATAACTATATAGCGCACGGAAAGGATTTATTTGCATACTATTTAAGATACATCAACAAGAGAAGACTTGTCAGTCATGTTGGAGCTAGATTCTGACCCAGAGCCAAAGTAGGTGGTAAGTCTAGACCTTATTTGGCAGTTAGGTCACAAATATTGTGACATAGTTCAGAAAAGAAAATAGAGAAAAATGAACGTGTTGAAAAACAAACAAAAAAAAACAGAATCTAAATAGCACCAGGAGAGACTAAATTCAAATTATCGGCTCTCCTAGAAAGTCCAAGTCTACAGCACAAAGTATTTAATGGCTAAAAACATTTTGATATGTCCTCGTTAAATCATCAATTTTCCATTTTTGTGATGTAACATGACTACCTCGGGTCTTGAGTTAGACTGGTGACCATTTCTGTCACTAATTTTCTGTATTTTTTATTACAATTATAAAAAATGGATAGAAGGAATATACTTTTTTAAAAGTGCCTAAAATTGACTACAAATAAAATAAAATTAAATCAGTTTTGCCAATTTTGTGTCTAACAGCAGGATGGTTTTATTAAAGGTGACTTTACAGTACTGTTTTTAATACCATTACATTTCTTATTTTAAATCTAATTTAATGTAATACTGTAATGCAATAATGTAATTCTCTTGCATCCATTTAAAAACAGTTTGAATAATTTATATTTATTTTGTCAAATGTTGAAATAAATCAAAACACAAACTCATTAGGAATTTCCAAAATCACAGTCTTTGGTATTATTACGTGGTAAACATAAATATTTCAGAAGCAACTTTAAAAACACATAATTTTAAGAACTATTTTGAATATTTCAGCTTGTAAATTTTAAGTCTGTTTGCAGTAAAATGCTCAGATTCCTGTTGTTGTGGCACTCCATCCACGGCCTGCTGCAATGTTTGTGTCTGCAGCTCTCCTCTGACTCAGATTGGCTGACAGTGCGAGCTGCTCCCTGGCACCGCTACACATGAACTGTCTCATCTGCAAACTCTGAGTGATGTCAGTGTGGCATCTCTGCCTACAAACAGAGACACCTTTCATAAGGACAGGACACTGTATGGGGCTGGTCTACGTAATGGAATATCCTGCCCTCCTTACCCGTTCTCCCCTCCCACCTAGCTTCAACGATCAGGTGAAAATGAGACTCTTGTTGTCGCCTGCAGTTGCTCGATCTAAAAATAACCTCGGATGAGCTGCCTAACTTCCCCTTCTTGTTTCTGTCACCTGCAGATCTTTACGTTCTCATTTGCTTACTTTAGCTTTTTTGGACCTGTTTGATTATCCCCATCGATACTGAACACCCACTTTGCACCATTTCACAATTTTGTTGTTTTCTTTCTTTTTTTCTCTTTTTTTTGTCAGATCTCTTCCCTCTTTTCTCCTGTTACATTATCCTTCCAACTTAACCTGGCTCTTTTCAACGGGGCCCATTTGTCAGAGGACCGATGAAAAGGTCCATTCTTCCTGCACAGTCATGGAGGCACAAGGAATACCAAGTTAATGAAAGAGTGATGATATCTAATCACCTTCCAGAGTTTAGCACCTGCACCAGAGCCAGTCAGTACCCAAATCTTTTTTTTTTAGTTCTTGGAAATGGAGGCTGTACAGATATACTTCCTCTTAGCCATGCACCCTACACTGGTTTTACCTTTGATATCACTTGTTGCACAGGAAATGGGAATATCGTGTGTGGTCAGGCAGAGCCAGTCCTCTTAGCTGCTCTGGATTTCAGCATTAGAGCGTGGCAATGAGATTAATACATTCAGAAAGGGTAGGGCTAAAAGGAACAATGACATATTTCAAAGGCTTTAATCCAGTGTCCTGTTACAATGATTAGAACCCAGTTTATTCATTTCAGGCTGAAGGAAAAGGCAAACTAAAACCAAAAAATGATATACAATTAAAAATTACCTCAGTTTGGACATTTAGCATCATGTTTGTTTTTATATATATATATA